GAGGAGGAGGAGGAGGAGGTTAGAAAAAGTTGTGCAGCTGGCATCTGTCCTTCACATTTTATTCACTGAAGAATTGTAGTGTGTGTGTGTGTGTGTGTGTGTTTTCTGTCCTTGTGCGTCTGCATTTCTGTGTGTGAAAAGCAATTTGCTTGTTGTACTCAATCAGGGTTATCAAACCTTTTTCAAAAGCGTTTTCTCATTACTGCCCTTTGTTTTCTGCTGTTGTGTAACTCTTTTATTTTCATTTATTTCTTCCTCTGCCAGATCTGATCCACTGCACCAACGAGATGAACGTGAACATTCCCCAGCTGGCGGACACGCTGTTCGAACGCACGGCCAACTCCAGCTGGGTGGTGGTCTTCAAAGCCCTCATCACCACCCACCACCTCATGATGTATGGCAACGAGGTAGGAGGCTTGCACGCAAAGACCACGCACAAACAAAAGTCCCCTCCAGAGGAGTCAATGGAGGCGACGTCAGTACATTGTGCTACTACTTGAGTCTCGCCCACAAATACAAACATTCACACACATTCGGATAATTTATTCATGTCCATACCAGCATTAGGATCAACAGTGCTGCGTATGGGATAGAAACAGTGTGTATGCAGCTACTGAGAATGTACACATTGGACACATAGAGTGAATAATCGAAATAGCTGTGGAGTGCGGAGAAATTAATTGGCTCAGTGCGAGCTGGGAGCAAGATGGGGGACGAGGATAGAAGCAAATGAATAATCAAATATATTAACCTAATAAAAACATGGTTGAAAGCTGGAAGAATAACACGGATCCTCCGTGGATTTGCAGACTTTCAAACACAATAATTAGAAATTAAAATTCAAGCAATCGCTGCTGTGTTTGGGAGAACTTTTGGATTTTATTAATTTGTGATTTTGATTCAGATGTTGTACTGTTTTGCATGAGGTCTGATCAAACCCCGCTACGTCAGCGAAATGTCTCAATTTACATGCAGTGCAGTTTTGGAGGGCGAAGGCCTAGATTAATTAAGGGAGAGTTGTAGTTTCATTTCTTGTAGTTTTATTAATCTTCTAACAAGATAGAAATGGAGTGCGCTTTGTTCTTCAAATAAACTATTGTAGCTTGCGTTTACACTGCAGACTACTTTACTAGTATATTGGTGAATGTATATTTTATGAAAACATCAGTCCGAGCACAGTGTGTTGCTTTGTTCTAACATAATTAGTTTGATCATAACATAAAATCTGCAGTAGTTTGTGTGATATTAATGTAATTAAATGTAACTTTTTTGCTAGCTAGTTCTAAAAGTCCGTTTTTTGTTGTCTATTTAGTGCCAACTTCATTTTCTGACAGTTGTTTCCACCTCTGTTAACTCCACTTAGAGGAACAGTTTGACAGTTAGTTGCAAGTTTTAGATAAGAAGATCGATGCCACTCCCTCATCTGTACGGTAAATATAAAGCTACTGCCAGCAGCTAAGTAGCTTAGCCAGCACAAAGTGTTGCCTTTACACTTTGGTTCTTGTACGAGTTACACAAACATGATATACTGTATTAATAGTGAGTTTTAGAGGTGTGGACAGGTGGATTTTGTTCTTTGAAAAGAACGAGGCTAGCTGTTTCCTGTCTTTGCTCCAAATGAAGCTAAGCGGCTGCTGGCAGTAGCTCCATATTTACCACACAGGCACCAGAGTGGCATTGATCTACTCTTTAGACTTTAGACTTTATTGTCCCCAAAGGGAAATTCCTTTCCACAGCTCTGTACACATCAGACACATCAGTCAACAACAGCACAATGGCGCTGGATGATGTCCAGGATTCTTTTTAGGATTCTGCAGGTTTCGCAGTATATCTCAGGGTTTTTTTTTAATGACATTATCTAGGTTTACAATGGCTTATTCTAATGTCAGGCGTACATGGAATATAAAAATATATGCCAACAACATTGCTTCTTTTTCAAAACAGAATATTTTGAAATAGTTGTATAAACACTATAAACTGACATTAAAGACTAAAAAAGTTTTCAAAAAGATATTTCTCAAATCTTTTATTAGATAAGTTAGAAACAAATGACTGTAGGTGTACCGGTTCATATTGCCCAGCACTACAGCACACAGTTACAACATACAATAACAGACAATAGTACACACTCAAGCCCGTTCATGGAGACCTAGATTGTATCCATTTATGATAAACGTCAAAGTAAAACTGAGCATTTCTGCTCCCTGTAACCAAAATCTGGTACTGCTGTGAAATAGTGGGTTACTATGCTCATGTACACATATACATATTATGTACACTGTATACTAATAGACATCTTGAATACAAAGACTAATATATAGTACCTTCTTGTACACAAACACACACAGCAGCAACACATCCGAAAACCGACACGCCCAGCGCTGCATTCCTTTGGATTTCCACTAAAATAGGGAAGCATTGCTTCCTCGTTCAGTCAACTTCACTTGTTTCTACATTACGCAAGACTTCCTTTAGTTGGTTCCTTGTTTATTACGCTAATCTAAACTTCCTCTGAAAAGAGGAAGACTTGGGTGTGAGATCATTGTGTTTTGGCGTATGGAAAAAAAAAAAACTGCTAAACTAACTGACACCCAAACAGCAGCCTGGCTGATTTCACTGCTGTTACAATGGTATTTTAAGAGAATTAGTCAAAGTACTCCCAAATTAGATGTAATGTGGGCGGCATAAGTGTATATTAAAGACAAACTGGCACCTTCGGTAATAAGGCACTCAGATAAGCCGAGACCTCACATACAGTTCGGAGAGACATCAGGTCATCAGATCATTCCGTGCTAAATGTTTGCTCAAGCTGTGGAAATTCCCGCAACATTTGTGATAAACCAAATCATGCTAAGTAGGTCAGTGCAGAGTGGCAGGAAGTGGTTTAAAGCTATTCCCAAGCTGTAGGCTGATGTATCTCAACGATTTTGATGTCAGTGTCTAACCTAGAGTGACTTAACAATGACTGCGACACTGTTAATCCCAAATATCTGCATAACCAGCATAACAAGCAGCTCGTAGAGACAATGCACCCTAACTGTATTTCTGTTATGTGGCATAATGAAAGTCGACATTAACGAAGTTAAGACAGAGCGTTTTTTTTTTAAATATTAATATAGCTTTATATTATTGCCTTGAAAAATGGAACTAAAGTAATAAGCAGCATCGTTTTGTCTTTTCCAATTTAGAACAGAAGCAATATTAACACCTGTTATTACATTGTATTTTTTACAATGCCCTGTAGCTACTAAATAAGTCAAGCTCTTGGTATAAAGTGAATTGTTTAGTAACACAGAGCGGTACTCTCTGTGATATTAAAGCATTAATGTCACTAATAATTCAAGTAAAACGGACATTTAATATGCAGCATTTTATTGTCAGTATTGTGCTGTTTAGTGGTTATTAATTGTGGAAACTACGATCATGATGTTCAGCAATTCAAAAGCCCTAATACAAACGTACCTGCAGTACATTACAGCACTGTATTTTATGGTTTAGCCGCACAGAGTGAGTCTCCAGGCTGTAGTACAGCAAGTGTGTGTACTCATCAGCCTGCATTCATCAGGCCTGTCAGGACGCTGGTGCTGACTGAGGCTCAGCGGCCAGGTGTCCCTGCTCCCTCATGGCCGTCCCATCTATTATAGTCAGAGCTGAGAGAAATCTGGCCGTAAAATTAGAAACCACAGACCCACAGAATTGGGGTCAATAGACTGTACATTCCTTTTCAGATCAACACGCTGACCGGTTCCAGCTTGGCTGGCACACCGAAAATGGCCTCGTACAATGTCCGATGGCTGCTCTGATGGTAAAGAACGTTTGCATTGAGTGAAATAAGAGCAGCCGCTTGCACATCACAGGCAGCTTTCTCCACATGAGCTGCAGTGATTGATGCATAAGGAATTCTTATAGTGAAAAGAAAGTGCTCTTCGTCACATCATTTGAAAGGCTAGACTTTCTGATAATGTTACCATGGATATAAGCACACAGACAGCCGACTCTGTGTCACTTTACATATTAGATACTGGTGCGCTTCTGATATGATGAAGGCTCCACCCTGAAATGTTATTTTCTTGGGTCACCCTGCCTTAAAAAGCTGTTAAGCCTGATATAATTTCATTTGTCTGGGTTTCAGTGACAGTGGTTTAGTCTTCCAAGGACTCGGTGCTCTGCTTTCACTCTGATAACAATAATAAAAAAGGCATCAACACAATATATAGGGTATTTGAGAGGTAAGAGTACAGAAAAAAGGAGGGGGTAAACAAGAAAAGAAGGAGATATAAACTGAAAATAGGAGGTAGGGAAGGAAATGAGAAAGAATGGACAGATAGAAGGAGGTAGAACAGGATGTGTAGATGTGAAAGTAAAAGACGAGTTAAAGAAAGGAAGTAAATGAGGAAGTAGAGGTAAAGGTTTTTTTTGTTTCAGTTCTAAAGTACTGGTATCAGTATCAGCCTCCACGACCTTTAGTTTTAACCTTCAACATTTGAAAGTTTAAAACTGTTGTTCATGAATACGTAACATATCAGACATTCAGCGGCAGCCATCTCAGGTTTACCAAGGACAACTGTACACAAGTACTGTGTGAGATTGACGGCACGACTGGTAACATTTTTTAATGTCTGCCCTTTTAATAATCCAATGACGGCTCGATACATATCACACATGACTAAACTACAAATGACTAAATATAATGTAGTTTTGCCTTTCCTCGCTCTGCATCTCCTCGCAATGCACCCGAATGTGAGTCAACAGACGCTAATATCCGAGCATATTCAAATGTAGTCCACTGTTGCATTCATTGTAAGTTGGCCCAGATGTCAGCAGAATGCCGCCGTTTTAAATGCAGCCTATTTTTATTCCGCTGCTTCTGGTAATATATTCAGCCCATGCTTTCAAATCGAATGTGGGAATTTACCATTCAGAGCAAATAGCAGGTGAATTAAGTTTTAATATCTCTTCTTTGCCTCAGCTGCCATATTTGTCAGAGGGATTGGGATTGTGATTAGAGTAATAGTGCATTTTCTCTGTGGGTGTTTGTGTGTGTGTGTGTGTGTGTGTGAGTGTGAGAAGAAATAGTCGACAGGCCAGTATTGATACTCGTTCAGTTCTTCACCTCCAGTTTTTTCCTCCCTGCCAAGAAGCAATCCTGGCTCACTCCCCAGTGACACTCTGAATCTTATGAGCGATCAAGAGTCGGTCAATATCTTTGATCACGATTTCACTTTTGTGCTGGTACAAAGCCGCTTTAGAGAGTACATCTCAGACGCCTCAGCTGCATCTGGAGTTTGCATCTCATTGTTTCTGCTTCTGGGTGATCGTGACTGTATGTGGGCGGGCTGTACTGATGCAGGTCCACTAGTCTGAACTTTACAGTTACAGTTTAATACTTAGTTTAAATTTAAAATGA